AAAATCCCGTAGCATGCCAAGGCTTTCTTAAAAAAAATAAAAGGGTCGTGACCCCAAAATAGATTAACACTTGATTTTGTGAAAGCAAAGAAGAATTAAGAGGGTGTTTGACATTTTTTTTTAAATGGTTTTTAGGATTTTTTGTTTTTTCAAAAAATCAAAAGTTTAAAAAGTTTGGAAAGTTCAAAAGAACTTTTAAATTAACTTAAAAAAAAAAAAAAAAAAAAAAAAAGAAAGGCGGTTAAACCTCAAAAGTTTATACAAATATATTTTAAAACTATATTTAAAAAAAAAAAAAAAAAAAAAAAAAAAAAAAAAAAAACATGAATCAAAAATCGTTTGCTAAAAAGGTCTTTTTAGTTTGACAAAACTGCACAAATGGTCCCTGTGGTTAGCTCAAAATTGACACTTTGGTCCAAAAAAGTTTAGACTAGCACCACAGGTCTAAACTTTTCATTTTGTTACGAGTTTGGTCCAATTTGCTATGAACTTTTTTATAATGACGATTTTGCCCTTACTTTTTTTTTTCTTTTTCAGTTTTTTATTATTTCTATTAATTTTTTGATGAAATAAAAATAATAAAAAAACCAATTAACCTCTCTCTCTCTCTCTCTCTCTCGTCCAACCAAAACCGGATCTGAGATATGTTTCTTCTCTAGACTTTTCTCCCTAAACACTCAAGGAAGGGAAAATAGAGGGAAGATCGAATAATGAAGAAATAAGAAAATGAAATCAGAAGACGAAATCATGAAGACGGAATCAGATCGAGTTCATCGGTTCTCTGGTTCTTCATCTGAAGACACACATGGTGATCTGAAGACGAAACGATGGAGGATAAAACCTTGAATCGAGATCCGCCTCTTTTCCTCGAGAGTCTTCTGTTGCGAGCTCATGTCTCCAATGTCCTTAGACGAGAACGGATCTACACCGGTTAAGTCTGAAAACTTTCTTCAGATCTATCGATCTGAAAACCCTTTTCCTCTTCACATCTGAAAACCCATCCCACAGTGGTAGCTCGATTTTCATGACAAAAACCCTAATCCATATGGGAAGGGCGGCGGAGAATAAGAGAAACTGAGAAAAATCCTAGCTTCGTCCTTTACAGTTTTGAAAAAAAAAACTGTCGTCCTTTTTCAAGATCTAAAGACGGTGGAAGCTCTGATTTCAACACCTTCGAATGACTCAGGCCATGTATTCGCTGCCTTTTTTTTTTTTTTTTTTTTTGTCTTGGTCTTTCTAGATCTATATCAGCATTGTGTTCGTCTTTATTGATCCATATCAGTGTAGATTTTTTTGAATTTTGATTTAAGAATGTTAAGCTTCTACAAATCTGTAAATACTTCTTGTGCCTTTACAAATCTAGTTGATCTTGTGGTTTACATGTCTATAAATACTTCTTGTTCTTCAGATCTGAAAAATATAGAATGTTTTGTTCTTCATATTTGGAAAAATTATGTTTAAATTCATCAAATGGTGGTGATAGTTCATGAGGTTTTCGGAGAAGAAGAGAGTGAAGAAACAAAAAGATGAAATGCGGATAGAATAGAGGTTTTGGAGGTGGTTTCCAACAAGAATGGTGGTTGTGGTGGCGATTTCCGATAGATTGTGGTGGTTTCTGGCAGGTGGCGGTGGCTTTCGGCAGCTAACAATGGTTTCCGGTGACACGGTGGGGAGAGAGAGAGAGAGATGGAAGGGTTAGTTGGTTTTTTTTATTTTTTTATTTCATTAAAAAAATTAATAGAATTAATAAAAAAAAAACTGAAAAAGAAAAAAAAAATAAGGGCAAAATCATCATTATAAAAAAGTTCATAGCAAATTGGACCAAACTCGCAATAAAATGAAAAGTTTGGACCTGTGCCTGTGGTGTTAGTCCAAACTTTTTTGGACCAAAGTAGCAATTTTGAGCTAACACCATTGGTGCAGTTTTGTCTTTTAGTTTAAAAAACTTAGCACCCCTAAAACCCAAAATCAAACCAACGATTTGCTTTCATCTTGGTTTGTTTTCTTCGTATTCATCGGGTATGCAGATTCATGAAGACCGTCGAATTCAGATATTCATCTTGTTTTATGTTTTTCATAATCATCAGGTCTGGAGATCCAAATTCTGTTTTCGACAATGTGGCGAACAGACCCCCACCGCGGTGCTTCATTCACCTCCGGCAATCCATTTTTAATTAGATCTTCTTGTTCTAGGATTTCGTTTTGAATTTCGTTTTGATTTTTCGAAGTGCAGTCCAGCAGACTCGCAAACGTTAGATGCCTCTAAAAGAAGGGGTATTGAAATCACAAGCGATATCAATGAAGATAACGCCATGTCGCCATCTGAGCATCGAGAAAAATGTGTTAGTGTTATTTTTCCTGTTCATCTACAGATTTTATCGAAAATCATGTAAGACCTTTCTCCTTGCTCCCAATTTTATTTGGCATTTTGATGTTGGCAATCTGATTTCGGGATACAAAATGAGGGTATTTCAGAGTTGAATGATTCGATATTTTTTGAATATGCTTGATTGGATTTCCTTCTTTGATAATATACTTCTATTTTGTGTGATTTCATTATCCTGTGAAGCCCTAATTCGAATTTTCTGCAGGATTATGTCAGGTTTATCTTGAATATCACAGAGCGAGGTTAATATAGTGGTTTGATCTATACCATGTTTTTTTTTTTTTGGAAAGGGAACTTCCCTAACGAGGGTTTCCGGGCCAGCTTTCGCGCACCGACTAATCCCCCGCTGCAAACATAAAGCTTTGCCTCATGCCCTGGAGTCACTGCAAGCGAACCTCCATGGCCACAAGGGCTGAGTGGTGCCAGGATTTGAACATGGGTCAATAGGTTATCCACCATATCTTCCACATGCCTTACCAAGTCACCACAACTCAAGTGGTTTACCATGTTCAAATTAGTAGGAGGATACTTTAGAAATGTTTTGGGAAGTAAAAGATTATGTTGTTCAAAACATTTTCAAAATGTTAGGTTTTATACTTATTGAGCTAATGGATACTTCAGAAATGTTTATAAGGAAGAAACTGGGTCTAGCCTTCTTTTTATGATATTCTCTTTATTGGTTGGTGGGTTCTTGTGGCTTTTCAGATACCTAAATATTGATTAACTGCAGATTCTAAGAGCAAGTGGGTGAGAAATTCTTGGGAGATAAAGGCCATTGTGTAGAAGAAGAGAGCCTCACTTAATGACTTTGACAGGATGAAGATCATGTTGGCAAAGATGAAGGTGACATAACTTTCAGATTGCAGTAGATTGAATCAATACCAGACTATTGCTAGAATATGGCTTTTCATTCATGCCTATATGAGATGATTTTTTTTTTCTTTAATGGTCTTAAGATGATGGTAATACACTTATTTTTGTAGTGAAGTTAATTGCATCTTTTTTCGAATGTAAGCAACAAAAATGGATTCTTTTACCTGTCTTTGTAGCCATTTACATATTGATAACAATTTATGCTATGGTTTACCAAATTGGCTGCATAAATTTGTAATAACATGAAACATGGCTTCATAAATTGATAAAAATGTGTAAATTTTATATAAGCACCCCTTGCTTTTCGTCGTTGTAGATTACGTGATGTTTTTAGTCTGAATAATGGAGTTGTAAGGCAAGAGTACCAATTTGGATGCATAAATTTGTAATAACTTAAAACATGGCTTCATATAATTTATGATCTTGCCAGTGTTGTTGATTAGAAGCTGTTTTTTTTTTTTTTTTTTTTTTTTTTTTTTAATAACTTTTTCTCCAAGTATTAAAGGAAAACGCTCTCTGTAGTTGTCTCATGCATCATGGGACCTTGATCCTGATAAGATAAGATTATTTTTCAAAATGCAAGATATTCTAGCTTATGCTCTTAGTTGTTTATATTCAAACCAAGATTGAAATTTAGTAGTGTTAAAAAAATTTATCTGCTCTTTTTTGTAAGCATTTTTGTTTGGTCTAAAAATGTTGGTTTATGGAAGCAATGATATACAATCATTCATATTTTGGTGACAAGTTTATTGGTAGTATGAAACCTACAACATATGTTGAAGTTAGTTGGTATAAAGTTGGAGGATTAGAAGGTCGAGGGTTAAGCTGTTAACTAGAGAGTAGAGATGTACATGTATGTTTTTGTTTTATTTTACCTTTGTGTTGTTAATTTGTAAGTCTATGTTGTCCCCTCACCTTTTGAAATACATACAACACTACATGTTGATTTTTGTTTACAATTTTTGTTTTCAGATTTGGTATTTCACTTGTTTTTTCTTTGATAGTTTATTTGGAAATTTGGTGTTTTCATCACTAATGATGCTAAAATAATAGAAATCCGTGGTCACTAGCAGTATGCACTATGTAGCTATCTCTTTTATTGTCAAATCCCAACATATCCATTTCCTAAAGTGTCAATTAATCCAATATCATCCAATAAATTCTTAACCCACATGTGTAAACATCACATGTTGACTGTTATTTGTGTTTAGAAGATATTAAATTTAATACATCATTAAAATTAAAAATATTGACAGTAGTGATAAGTGTATAATCCTAAGGAACATTCTACCGATGGTTTATTTAGATCAACACAAAGAAGGATGAGAATTTTTGAAATCTTATATTGCAATTCAACATATTAGTAGTATAGTACAAATCAGTTACGAGAGCCATAATGCAATGAATTGGTCCAATCTATGAAAAACACACTAAGCACTACTGAATGTTGCAAAATTGGTCCATCAATTGCAAATAAAAGTCAATAGCTGTAGGAATAAGTGAGAAGAGTCTTGCGACATTTAGTAATTTAGTATAAAGTGTAGGTATCAAATTTATAAAATTAATGTTTGGACTTTTACATATCTTTTGTACTTGTCTGTTATTGAAGACATATGTCTCAGTACAATTAGATCACAAGCGAGGAGAAAGTTAGAAGAGACTGTATTAGTGAGTAACAAGACGAATGAACGATACAACATAATTTAACACTTTGAATGGTTTAGTGTGACATCAGTTGCAATTATTGAAACTCATGTTTCTTTAGCCCGTTGTAATCATGGAAACATAAATGTTGGGTAGATGACATGTTGGTTAACCACACGGGCATTTCTCGCATTCCGAATCCACTTATGACTAACGAAGTGAGTGAAGTGAGGTGTTGTATTTCTTCTGGAATTGACTCCCAATGATCCCAACCTCTGAGGTTCAAGTAGTCAAGGTGGTTCCTTAACTTCTCGATGCCTTGGAGACTCGGGAAAGAATCCAGCTCCTTCGAGAATGGACCAAGTTCCAACTTATTTAAGAAGGCAAAACAATTAAACATTTCACAAGGCAAGGAAGTCAGCTTCTCGCAATAGCCAATTCGCAAACTCTTCAAAGAATGACACTGTTTGGGCAAATTGGCTATTAATGAAAGACTTGGACAATGGTCGATTACTAAAGATTTAAGAGATGTGAGGCCTTGTATGCTCTTAATGTACTCCAAACCTGTGCAGCTCCATATCCTTAAGGACACAAGAGGATGGGGATGACATTCATCTAAAAGAATAATCTTTGCGCAACTCTTGATTTCCAATGTCTCGAGGACAGGCGATATCATTTTTGAGCTGTTGGGTGCTCCATCTATCCAATTTTCCAATCTTTTCATATTTCTTAGTCGGAGCGATCTCAACGATGGAGACAAAGGCTTTGTTGATCCAGTAACATCGGAAACCCTTAAGCATGTCAAGTTGTCCATTTCGTATAAATCAAGACCCCGAAGATGTGGTAGGTGCTCAAGCGTCGGAAAAGAGAGGCAGTTGCAACATCGAAATAATGTGATCTCCGTGAGCTTGTCAAGGGGGGTCCATTTCCCTTCGATATCGATTGCCATCTTCATCACCCAATCTGGAAAATTATCACCACAAAAATTTGTAATTTTCAAATTTTTTAAATTTCTAGGGGGTTGCAAGCCTTCCAATACATCCTTGTCGTTTATGTTGGCACCTCCACGGTTCCAACTCCATTCGAATTCGATCTCGTATAGATTTTTCTTTCTAGATAAGTCTGCCTTGAAAGCATTCTCTTTGCTACTAACATTCTCTAGATGTGAAATAAAGAGGCTTCCACTAAGGTTATTCAAACGGCATAGCTCTTCTATACCATGTCTCTTCCTTCTAAGCACTATGAAGGAAGGCAAAGTTTGAAGAGAAGTCATTTGTCCTATGATATTGGCAGGAATGTATTTGTCACACTCGAAACGCATGTCCAACCAAGGCCTCCTGACATTTTCTTTGTGACGCTGGAAATATCGTAGGCTTATCAAATTTCTCATGGCTTCTGGAAACTTCTTAATGTCAGGCAACTTCAGAGTTTGCAAGTGGTATAATTTACCAATAGATTTAGGAAGAACACGGATACTCGTATATGTCAAATCCAAATACCTGAGATGCACCAACCTTCCAATTGAATCGTCTAACTTCTCTATTGTATAACATTTGACTTGTAGGATTCGTATGCATTTTAATCGTTGAAATGGAAATTTCTTATCAACTTCACCTTCGATGAACAATGTACGCAAAGTTCGAGCCACTGTATTCCTTTCAATGAACATAGAAACCTCTGCTGCCAATTTATAGTTCTTTTCTTTGTAAAAAGCAAGATGTTTAACCTGAGGGATACATGCAAGATCATCATTTGACGCATCCTCCAGACATAAGCTTTCATGTTTTGAAAGTGATAATGAAAGATCATGCACCAGATCATGCATGCTACAACGAGTAATATGACCATACTCATCCCTTTTAACATCTTGGAACAACGAATTGCTGACCAAAATTTGAAAAATATCATTCCCCACATCCTCCATCTCCTTGTTTCTTTCCTCATCTGCTTGAACCAACCCTAAAGCCATCCAAAGTTGGACCAGTTCTTCCCTTTCCATGACCGTATCTTTCTTAAAGATGGAACAATACACAAAGCATTGCTTGACAGAATTCGTGAGATTATCAAAGCTCAGTTCCAAACTCTTTTGTACTCTATCCCTTTCTTCTTCCAGATCCCAAACCTTGCTATTTTTTATGTACAGCCACTTCTCTATGTCGTTGTAATTTGCCAACATACCACCTATTACATTTAATAACAATGGTAAACCACCACACTTTTCTACAATGTCGCGGCCTATCTTCACCAGTTCTGGCGATGCTGATGTTCCTTTCACAAACGCTCTTTCTTTGAAGATGTGCCAACAATGATCATTAGAAAGACCTTTTAAAAGACATGAATCCACGTGCATATCATGAGTTCCGATTTCAAGCTTCCGTGTAGTGACAAGAATGCCACTTCCATTTTGTGAGCTTACATTTAACATACAACTCCTAAACTCTTCCCAATATGGCCTCTCTTCGACCCAAACGTCATCCAAGACGAGCAAATATCTTTTTGATGCCAACTGCTCTTTAAGACTTTCAATTAAATTGGTCCTTAAGTCCGAGGTAGGTTTCTTTTTGGCAAGAGATTCATAGATCTTGGCAAGAAGTGTATTTATGTCAACCTTAATCGACACACACAACCATGCTTTAACATCAAAATGTTGCTCGATCTTTTTATCATTGTAGACCGACTTAGCCAAAGTGGTCTTCCCGATCCCGCCCATTCCCACAATGGGAACAATGCTAAGTTTTTCTTCTTTTCTTGATTGGGTTAAAAGTTCAATGATATGGAGTTTATCATTATCCCTCCCAACAATTTTAAATTCTTCTTGATTTGGAACAGTCTCTCTCCAATATAGACGATCTAGAACAGGGCCTGCAGGGTGTTCATTTTGTAGTCCTAAACTGTTTGCTTCTATATTGATCTTAAGTAACTTTTCATTGATGTTTTGGATTTTATGACCTATTTTATTACGAAAGGAGAACCTTTTCAAGCTTGGAAGGCACATTACCTTCCTTGTTATCCGATCTGGTTTCTTTATTTGACGCCTCAGCATTTCGTAATCAACCTCATCCAACACATCATCAGCTTCACCCACTACATCTTTTAGCTGCTTCAGCCACACCATCACAACCTCTGATTCCTTTTTTTGCTCCGCATCACGTAACTTGGCACGAATCAGGTCTAATGTTCTGTGAAGGCTGGTCAGCTTTTCTTCGTAACCCCATGCAATGGCGAGTTCACCCGCAGCAATAGACAACACCTTTTTCAATGTTCCCTCAGCAGCAATAGTGACTAATGCTTCAGCCATTTTCACAGTTTAGATGAGATTGGAAGAGGGGATGAATGGTGGAAGAAAGAAAGAAATCTATGAGATGGTTGAACAAAGAGAGACCCAATGAATGGAAATGGAGATTCATTTGGTGGCGTGTGTGGTGGAAAATGGTATCGAATCAGAATTGAAGGTGTCTACTAAGTTATGCCTTTCCTAAGTTGCAAGTTTAGAACATACACATTGCTATTTTTCTTTTCTTTTCTTTTGTTTTTACCTTCTGTCATTATTACTTATCTAAAATATTAATATATCATTATATTTTATGTTTTAATAGTTAATATATAATGTTTCATATGTAAACTAGAATTGATCTTTGTAACTGTTTTATTTTCATTTACCTTTTGTCCTTTTAAAATACCTCTATATTGTAATATGATATGTAACTATATCTTTCCATTTTAATCCCTACGTTTGTTTATATGGGTGGAATACTTTTTTCTTATATTGAACATGAAAATTTTTGTAATAAGTGTGTCAATGAGAATATAACTAAGAGAAAAGTACATAAATGGTCCTGTGAAATCCAAAATTCGCATATATTGCCCCTAACCTTTTTTGCTTGATTAGCATGATCTGTGTCGTTTTACTTTCTAGTGTAGTTGGTCCATTTCATTTTATTACAAATTTGATCTGTTGTTTTACCCCTTTTTCTTGGTTTTTATTTTTTATATTTTAATTTAAATTGATTAAAAAAAATAAAAATTCATTAAAACTACCCTTAACCCAACCATCTCAGTTCGTCTTCATGCTCGACACCATACCTCCCTCAACCCCACTTCATCCCTGCCACCCTCCACCAGTAACCACCACTTTTCTCATGGACTGTCTTGTTACTTCCTTGCCAGACTCACGACCCAACACTACTAGAAACCTAACCTACAACGATGGAATCAGCGACAGATTTTATCTGTAGCTAATTAGCGACGGTTTACTGAGAAATCATTGATGGAATGCATAAATATTTCAATCCAAATAATTATAGAAGTTTAGAGATGGATCAACGACAGATTGGTATGATTTTATCGACAAAAAACAGTCCCTCGCTGAACCGTCGAAAAGTAAAACCTCTCAACGAGGGAATAACGACGGATTGCAAAAAATTAGTGGCTTTTTTTCCTGGCCCTCGCTAAACCCTTGCAGAAAATCTACGCCTTCCTTTTTTCATTCCTGGCTTTTCTTCCTCTACTCGTTCCCTCGTTTTATTTTCATTCCCACCGATTTATTCCCAAAGTGACGATTTCCTACCAAATCCCTATATGACCGTCAAATCTCTACTCTGTTTAGGAAATCGCCTCCACCACAGTCAACCTGTATCATCCCTCTTTGAAGCCTCTCAAAGGAAAACCTGATCTGAAATCACATCCTCGTTGGCTTTCTTCTCGGTTTGACTGCCTTCCTCGTTAACTCACAGCTTACTTCCATGCCAATGCCTTTCGATCTGCTGATTCACAACTACTCTAGACCGTACAACTGCTTAGCGGCAACAACGACGTCGATCACCCGATAAGAAAGCAGTGGTGGTTCTGTTGGCGGTAGCTGGATCACAGTGGTGGTCATCCCATTCAAGCTCTGGTTTATACAAATTTGATTAACCTTGAGGTAATTTTGAACTTTATGGATGATATGCATAAGTTTAGGTCATTGTATTGTGTTGTGTTAGATTGATAGGATTAGCTATGAATTGATAATCTTGACAATTGATGAAGTTAATAGCATGTACCTAATTGAAAACAAGTAGCAATGTGTTGAAAATTATTCAATGAATCTCGTGAGTTACTCAAGGAATCTAATCTCCTGGAAAGTGGATGAAGACTGTTCTTTTTGGGAAGAGTCATCAAAATCTAATATCTCAAAAGTAAGTAAAAGTGTTATATTACAGTTTACAGTTACACCTGTTACTAGTAAAACACATATACATGATGGTATCTTATTATTCTTGAAGGATGCTAGTTTAGACAAAAAGACCTCCATTACCCTCAACACACAATCAAATGATCTTGCTGTTGATTCTACTGTTATGTCAACACCAGTGTCCCACATCAGCAACATAAATGGAGAACAATCACAGTTAGAGTAGAGCTCCAGTGCCAACTTACTAAATGTTGCAAATGATGATGATTTAATCAGGCTAGAACAGGCTGCTACTAAGGCACAAACAGCTTTCAGGGGATACTTGGTAAGGTTAATGCATATTACAAGAACATTGCAGGAAATAGCAATTTACTTCACTCCACTTACTAATATAGGAGCTTTCAAGCCTTCTTGTAATATTTTAGTTACATTTAATGATGTGAAAACTCACAAACAAGTAAGCTATTCTTATTGTTCTCATTCTAGATAGATGATTATTGTTTAGTATATCAATACTTTGGTCTGCTATAATAATTCTTCTTTACTAATTCATCATCAGGTTCCTTTGAAGAAGGAAAATGGTCAGATATCAATGGTGCCTCTTTTCCAAAGTCATAAAAGCATTGCTGGAGTGGTATTTATTGATGGTTTTGTAATTTTGTTGGATAATAAACCTCTTACTTGCTAGCTAGTGATCGAAACAAGTTGAATTTACTTATTTACCCTTTTTGCAGATATCTGTAGACCCAATGCAAGGGAAGAAGGTCGAACATAATGGCATTAAAATAGAACTCCTTGGTCAAATTGGTGAGTTTTCTACTTAATTATAGGAGAAATTGTCATGCAAATCAATATTAATAATATTTTAGTATTTTAGTTCTGTTTGTATAAATTTATTTTGACAGGGGCAACTTCTATGACTTTACCTCTGTTGGTAAGTCCATCTGTTTGGAGGCTAACTTTTACATGTTATTGATGAAATGACAACTTTTATGTTGTTTTTTCATTGATAATTGATAATTCAACATCATTATTCATCAGTAATTTACTATGTTACCCTTTGTTATGTAGTTCGTGAACTGGATGTTCCTGGTGAAATATATGAAAGGAAAACATTTCCTTTTGAATTTTCTTCAGTTGAAATGCCTTATGAGACATACAATGGTGTCAATGTGTGACTTACGTAAACACCATCTTATATCTAAATTCAAATAACATACAAAAAAGCATAAAACCATGATTATGATTGCATATAAAATGGGTTTTAGCAAGTGATGAAGCTCTATTTTTGTAGCAAGTTGAAAATTATAGTCTGTGTTCTAGAGTGAAATTAAGTAGTTGACATCTGTGAAAAATGTTTTCTCTTGATCACAATTTAAAAGTAAAATTAAAGCAAAAGTAACACTTTACATGGAAATATATTTAGTGTTATAAAATATCTCCATATCTTCATATCTCCATGTGAAATATATTTTGTAGTTGTTTCCTTTTATTAATTTTTTTTAATCATTATTCATTTCTTGACAGATCAATATGTCAATATATAAGTACGACATCCCTTGAGTAGTTCTCCAAGGCAGGTATGTAATTTTGTCTTATTTCCTCTTCTTTTTTGGCCAATGCATCTTTTGATCAATGTAATGTAACCATTGAACGATTATGATAAACATGCTCTAATGATTCTGTAGGAAACATGATAATAACCTCCGTTAATGATTTTAGAAAGACAAATAGAATTATTTTTTATTCCCTTGGTTGATGCAAGTGTCGCTAGAGCTGAGGGTTTTCAGTTGGCCAAATGTCTCTCTGTTTTTGATCTCATCGCCATTGGTAAACTTTCAATCAACTTACGTATCATCACTTTTCACCTTTCATCGTCTATCTATTATTGATCACTTCTCGGATTTACATTAAGTAAAATCGATACATATATATGTTTTGTTGATTAATACATGTTATTTCTCTTAGTGTCATTATGCAATAAATTTGTTATATATGTATGTATGTATGTATGTATATATGTATGTATGTATGATGTTGGGATGTATTGGTATCAATTAACCTAAAAGTCAAACCAATTTTATCAGGATTTGGAGAAACAATTGGAGCTGGAGTTTACATTCTTGTTGCAACAGTTGCTAAAGAGAAAACAGGGCCTGCAATCACAGTATCATTCCTCATAGCCGGAATAGCAGGTGGACTTTCAGCATTATGTTATGCATAACTCGCATGTCGTTGCCCATCTGCAGGGAGTGCGTATCACTATTCTTACTTATATGTTGGAGAAGGGTAATCTCGTAATTTCTCCTAACAATTCTATTATTCATATATTCATATTTTCTTTCTGCAAATCAATATTCTATCCCCTTCAACTTCCAGTGTTGCTTGGTTGATTGGTTGGTCCCTGATTCTTGAATACACACTTGGTGGAGCAGCAGTAGCCCGTGGCATATCCACAAATACGGTGAACTTCATCTCCTTTTTCTTTCTACCTAATTTATAATTTCAATTTTCTTTTTCTTTTTCTTTTTCGAATTATAATTTCAATTTTAAACAGGCTGTGTTTTTTGGAGGTCCAGATAAGCTTTCTGCTTTCTTAACTCGACCCACCATTCTTGGAATTGTAGTTGATCCTTGTGCTGCTGTTTTAGTCTTCATTATAACTGGACTACTCTGCACCGGAATCAAAGAGGTATTTTAGTCCTTTCAGTTAATGACTTATTCTTAAATTTTATTATACTAATAAAATGAATACTTTTAGAGTTCATTGGCTCAAGGCATAATCACAACAATAAACGTTGTAGCCTTGCTTTTCATCATAGTAGTTGGTGGATAGATAGGTTTCAAGACTCAATGGGTGGATACAAAGTTCCAGCCGGGTAATATGTTCATTTTTTTCACATGTGTTAAATTACCATTTTACCCTTGGCAACATGAAACATGTTTCTGATTTTCAGGTATTTCCCGTATGGAGCTAATGGAGTACTTGCTGGATCTGCAACCGTTTTTTTCTCATATGATGGTTTTGATGTAGTAACAAGCACAGCAGAAGAGGTAACACTAGTGATTGTGATTGTTCTTTCTAAAGGGTATAATTGTAATTTTTATATCGATTATATTACAGGTGAAGAATCCTCAGAGAGATGTATCTGCTGTTGTGATTGGTTTGGTGCCATGTTCCCAATTAGATCCTGATACCCCTATCGCCTCAGCTTTTGCTAGTTATGGAATGAATGGATCAGTGTAAGTGTAACAACCCGAAATTCATATCCCTAAATGTAACCCTTCTCGCGACTCGTTCCGACCATCCAATCGCCGTTTCCGATTTCGTTTCCGATTTCGGCATTTTATTAAGTCATTATTGAATATTTTATTTTAGGACTTAATGAGTGCCCAAATGCCCTTAGAACTCATTTTAACGCCTCGTATTGGTGATCGGAACATGTTTAAAATCAACCATATCGGGTTACGGAAAATTGGCCGGGTGCGACCAAAAGCCCCGTCTAAAGCCGGTATCAGGTAGAATTTCATCGTGTCCAAATCCTGAACACTATTTAAAGTGTTCTAAGACTTCATTTTGAAGCTTTTGCTTCATTCTACAACTATCACCCCAACCTCTCTCCTCAAACTAGAATTAAAGGTCCAAATCTCAAGTTTAAGGCTTCAAATCTTTGAAGTAACTTCCCTAGCATGCTATACAACCTCTTTAGCCTTCAAATTCGAGTATAATCTATGGATTAGGACCATTATCATGTGTTTACGGCCCTAGAACTATCCTAGGCCGTAAACTCATATAAATGGGGTTTTTGGAGCTACAAAACCCTTCCAAACCACAATTAGACTTTAGATATGGCTAGATGACTTTATGGAATGAGCTTAGAATGCCTTGAAACATGATTTAGAGCCTTGTTTAAGAGTTTATGGTCCTGGAAGGTGTCTAGGCCGTAAACACTAATTTAGAGGTTTTTAAGCCCTTAAACCCTTCCATGGCTCAAACAAGACTTAGATATGACTTTTAGAATATTGGTTATGGATCTAGAACACTTCAAACATGGATTTTGAGGGGTTTGTATGAGTTTAAGGCCAAGGCATGTGCTTGGGCCGTAAACTCCTCGAACATGGGTGTAAAATCACTTCTAAGGTGTTAGAAAGCCATCCAACACCACCAAAAGCCTTGGAATAAATCATAGGACCAACCAAAAATAGTATAAGGGCTTTAAACACATCAAAACCTCACATATGAGAGTTTACGGCCATAGAACATGCCCCATGGCCATAAACTCCTAAAAGTGTGTCAAATGGTGCCACAAATTCATTTCTAGGCTTGTAGGAATTTTTAGAATCACATGTGATTAATTTTGGGACCTTAAAAACACTTATTCAAGGAGATATGAGAGTTTACGGCCATAGGCCCCATTCCAAGGCCGTAAACTCCATTAAGTGTTGTATTTGGTGATTTTAATTCATTCCAAGCCTTAGGTAAAATTTTTCCAAACATTTCCAAGTGTCAATAGCCATTTGTGACCCTTTAAGCACCATAAACCACCCCACCATGAGTTTACGGCCGTAAACTCATGGGGAATGGGTGTTTAGGCCGTAAACTTCATTAGGGAGTTTACTCTTGGGGAGTAAATTCAAATCCCAAGTCCCTCACTTCAATTCCCGTCCGTAGATGTCACCCGGGTCACTCCAAACACCCGTTTTGAGGTGTTTTCGTTCGTTGGAGTGTAATATCGTATCTAATTAGAGTTTATAAATCAAATTAGATATATTTGTATATCATTTCGTATTACATAGGAACCTCACGTGTTATCAAACCTTAAATCGACACTTAGCATCCGGAACGTCGCGCTTCTCAACTGGTGAGTTCATACCCCTACCCTTTTTCCGTGTTTTTCACTGTTTTCACTGTTTTTCAGGGGGGGAATACAAGCAAAAGTACAAATACATTTTGTACTTAAACTAATTTTCAATTTAATGGTTTATTTACTAATTGTCTTGATTGTGATAACTGATGTTTTGAACTGCACGTTAAATAAAGATTTCTTTTAAATATTGTATATTATATTGTCTTTTGTAAAAGAAATCATACTAATCATAACTAAGTACGAATACGAATAACGAATATAACTAATAGGATAGAACGAATGCGAATACGAATATAACTAAGTACGAATACGAATAACGAATATAATAGGATAGAACGAATTCGAATACGAATATAACTAAGTACGAATACGAATAACGAATATAACTAATATGATAGAACGAATACGAATAACGAATATAATTAACAGGATAGAACGAATACGAATAGGCTTAGGACTACGAATGCGAAATAACGCCTTTGGATGACAGCAAGACTTCGAATATACAGCTAGTGTACGCCTTGAACGTCACCAGAGTTCCAAATACGAAAGTACGCCTCTGGAACTCTACTGAGTTTTGATTCCATCCGCCTCAGAATGTCGATAGAGATACGAAAATACAACTAATGTACTCTTTTGGAATCCACCAGAATAATCGAAAATACTGTAATGTACTTTTCTAGTGAATCCAAAAATACGAAAATACAACTAAGTTTGTAGGTTATAGTCATACGAATGTAGTTTAGAATACTTAACTAATACTACACATATATGGTAAGTACTAATACTTTGAAATCAAACCTAAGAACCAAACAACTCAACACATAGGAAAATATGGGATTTTCCTGGGATAACATAACAACTAGTAACGAACTTAGAATCAAATAGCCAATTCAATACCTAGGAAAATATGGGATTTTCCTGGATAGCATAACAAAACATAAGCGAATAAAGTAACAAACGAATAACTAAAACTATAAGGAAAATATGGGATTTTTCTGGAATAACACAACAAACCGTTTTTGAAATTGTAACAAAAGATAACTAAACCATTTTATAAGAAAATATGGGATTTTCTTGAACAATAACTATTTCAGAAAGTAAAGGAAACTCGTTCTTCTCAAAACTAAACCGCTTATGAACTCACCAGCTTTATGCTGATTTTCAAACTGCTTGTATTCTCAGGTCAGCGTTAGACAGGTACACCGCAACCTTTTGGAGAAGACGGAGCGTCCTGAAGACTCGTCTTTACTTTTGTTCATATTACATATGTAAAACACTTGTACAACTTTTCTTTTAAACAGATGTAAACAATATTATGTAATGTAATGTTTTGTGATTACTGCTTTACTATGTGCATTGGATTTTATACTCAACGTGGAGTCAACCCCGGAAATGTTTCCGCCTTTGGTTTTCGGGGTGTGACAGTAAGCATACAACATTTCTTTCTGAAGGGCATAATTGTAATTTCATGTTTATTTACATCTAAAACGATCATCATGATTTCATATATGTTATAACTATCAGATTTGTTACTGCTCTCTGTGCTGCTTTTGGTTGTATCATTATTTGATGTATTTTAGTATAATAATTTGATGATTGTAGTATTTTTTTTCCTTTTAGAATCATAATAAAAAAAATGATATTACAAGTTCGCGACGGATTAGTGACAAAAAAATAATAATAATAATGCATGAATTTAGTGAGGGATTAGCTACGGAAAAAAATCATGTCTAAAGTTTGTGATGGATCAACGATGGAAAAATAACAAAATTAATTTAAGAATTTTTCGAGGGATTAGCTATGGGGAAAAATCAAGTCTAAAGATTGCGACAGATCAGCGATCGAAAAAAAAAATAGTATATGAACTTTGCAAGGGATTAGCTATGGAAAAAAACTGATCATGGAAATTTGCGACAGAACAGCGACGGAATGTCTTTAACAAATTTTTGTCGCTAACGTCCTGGGTAAATGTATTGAGTAACATTTAGCGACGGATACTCTGTCGCTAAATTTGTCGCAAGGAAAAACTAATCCGTTGCTAAAACCCTCGCTAAGTCATTAGCCATATTTTAATTACCTATGGAGTGAATCTGTCGCTGATCCATCGCAAACAACATTTAGCGATGGAATAGCGACGGATTCGTCCGTCTCTAAAACCCCTGTTTCTAGTAGTGCAATACGACAAAGAAAATCAACCCCATCAACAACATTCTTGTGTTTGGATGAAGAAATATGAAATAGTAGTAAACAAAAATGAAAAAAAATAAGATTTTGAAATCAATTGCAGGTTTGAAGGTGAAGGTTTTGATGTACTCTCTTTTGAAGCCTAACACCAATAACAAGTTTTGGCCAGGTCGATGTTTAACATTTAGTCACAACGGCCATTCCTTGGAAGTTCTCTTTGTATAGGTTTGTATATGTTTCATTTTATTGAAGTTCTATCTATTTTGATATTGTTCCTTGCCTAAAAACGAGAAACTGAGTCATAAACTATTGCTGAAATCTATTATGTGGCTTCTCCATATGGACCATACAAGCATTTCTTTTGGATTTGTTTATCAGTTCGAATATTTCTTCCCTCCACAAACAAATGGTGGCTCTGTATTTCACATTGTATTGGTGTGTAGTTTGTTTTTTCTCATTGTTGGTGATGATTGATCTTGTGAAGTATTGGAAGATCTTCATACATATTGAGGATGAAACTTAGTTGCCTCTGAGATTTGGACTCGAATTTTGAGGATGGTGTTTGATAGTGTTGTGACCGGAAAGAGGATGATGAAAGGTGGAGGGTGGGGCGGGTACAAGGGCATGAGGATGGTGGGGTCCTATTTTTATTATTAATATAAATAAGAAATAAATGAAAGAAAATGATAATAAATATTCAATAGGGTAAAGTAGTTATTTTATAGTAAGAAACTGAAACCACATAACCATCTTCATAAAAAAAAGGTAGGGACGATATATATGAACTTTGGAAACCACAAGGACCATTTTATTAATATTATCTATAATTAATTATTCGACATTTTTAAATAAACTCCATATATAAAATATTGTCCAACCTCAAATTGTTTTATATGTTGTAATCACTTTACATAAAAGCCTCATCCAACACCAACACAACTAATTAGTAATGCGCACTACAAGAATATCACCCTTTAGCGGCGACATTATTACCGGCGACATGGACTTTTAGCGGCGATAAATGCTAGAGTTGCCGCTAAAAGTCCACATCATCGTTAAAGGGTTATCACCCGAATTCGCATTTTCCCACTCTGCTACATCTAAGCCGTTCGATCAAATATCCAATCTAATGATTGGGATCCCTTATCCGCACTAACCTAATACCGGCGACATATGTGTCGCCGCTAAAAGTTAAAAATGTCGCCACTAATAGTTAGCTAAAAAATGACGCGGTACCCTTCCCTCCAGATTGTCGCCGCTATTGACCTTTGTCCCTGATAAAGCCCTAATTGTCGCCGCTAAAGGCTCTCGCAGATAATAATAATAAAAAAACGCACGCAGCTTCTTCATTTCTCCCATTTTGCTTTCTGTTTGTTGCATCCCACACAGTCGCCTCTTTCAGCTTCTACCGAGTTTGTCTTCAATTAGGTTATTCCAACTACATATCTCCCCACATTGTGTGAGATTTAAGATCAAAGGATGGCTAGGGCTTTTGGGACCGATTTCTAGCTTCATTTCTTGAAGAAAGGTTAGTTGATTTTGTTGTTTCCTTTTTAATTTGTATGTTAATTTCGATTTGTAGCTGCATTTGATGATTAAATGGCAATAAATTGTTCAATTTCTTATTTTTGGTGGTGTTGTCTTTGGATTAGAAAAAAAAATGAATTGGATTGTTGTATTACTTCCACTAGTAGTTTAGCCTTTAGGGACATTTGGTGATTATTAAAAGCTGAATTTGATGATTAAATTGCAATAAATTGTTCAATTTCAGTGTTTTTGGTGGTGTTGTCTTTGACATTACCGGTGAGAGTATTTTCGGGTGAAGACTAGTTTTTCTAGCTACATATCCGTTGATTTCCACCACTACAGGTTCTATTATTTCATTTTTTTTTTTGTGAATTTGGTATTTGTATGTGAAAATTATGTGAAATTTTCCATATGTGAAAATTGAATTGTATATTTGATATTTGTATAAATATATGTGAATTTGGTGTATATATGCCAATGTATGTGTGTTTTATGTATATGTGGTATATGAGTATTTAGTAGAAGTATATATATATATATATATATATATATATATATATATATATATATATATATATATATATATATATGATGTTATTATCTATATATATGTGAAATTATATGTATTTGTTATAAGTAGGATGTTATTGTGTATATGTGAATGTATATATGTTTGTTGTAAATGTGGTATATGATTGTGAAATTTTTGTATTTGGTATGAATAGGATGTTATTATCTATATATGTGAAATTATGTGTATTTGGTTTAAGTAGGATGTTATTTTGTGTGTATGTGAATGTATTTGTATTTGGTGTATATGTGGTATATGTATGTAATGATGGGTTTTAAACAAAACATCAATCCTATGGTGTGCATGCAAACCCTAATAGCTTTTGGATCTAGTTTGTCTAATGAACATGCAATTGAATATCCAAAGCTATAAACCCTAGATCTTTCATATAAGAACTGAAATAAGGGTTTAGTAATTACCTGTGATTGTTATATTGTAATAACAATCAATTCCTTGCTTTGATTGGCTTCAGAAAGCTTAGTGCCTCAAGTGCTGCACCTCTAATGGAGTCACAAACACCACTAAGCAACTACATGAAGAAGGAGAAGAGAGGAGGCACCCAAAAACGTCTAGAAACCCAAAGGATTCAGTTACCCACGTTTTTGGGGCCTAAGGGGTTCTTTATATACTTGTGTGGACTGCTAAGGTTTCAGTCAAAACCCTAATGGATAGTTTAAACTCTAAGCAGCCCATGGAACCTTCTGGATAAGGCCATGGACGAAAATATGATGGGCTCCCATCATAATTTCATTCACGCCTTGTTCCTGTAGCATTCCTTAGCCTACTAACACAATTATCCAATAATTGCAATCCAGTTCCCTATATTTAATTAATCTCTTTTAGCCATGAAATTAATTATCAATTAATTCTTGACTAATATTCGTTAAACAATATGATTTCTCTTTTAATATATTATTCTCATAATATATTAATAAATCATATTTAAACCTTTCTCTCCTTAATTCATCCTACATATTGCTATGGTGAAGGCAACCCAAAAGGACCATGCTCATAATCGAGTCAAGTACATACCAAAATAGTTATGGACTTAGACACTAATCCAACAGTCTCCCACTTGGATAAGTCTAATAACTATTTTCCGTATGACTTCAGAACCTGATCAATAATCGTAGCTTTCAGAAGCCGCTGTCAACTCTGATCTTATCAGATAGCGTGACTTTTGGATAAGGGATCATATATTCCTCCATTCTCAAGATATCGTATAGACATAAGACATGAATTTCAATCATTCTCTCTATATTGTTCCCTGACTTCCAATTTATGACGACTGACAACAGACTACAATTGAACACATCAACTTAGTCCCGGCTTGGCCAAGCACTTAGGTGTCATCACTAAATCATCGAGGGGCCCACAGATATCGCTTTTATCCCACTTTAGGTAAAAGAATGGATAAACTTTGACTCAAATGCTCGCTTGCATTCACTGATAAAATCACACACAACAATAAGTTTTATGACACCAAGTTACTGGTGCGTTTACTTATTATCAATGTGCAACCGACCAACAAATAACAACTCACAGGTCTCGGTTTCAAGAATATACAATATTATCATCTCACTAAACACCCGCGATAAATACATGAAGTGATCCAAGTGAGCGTGGGTTTAATCCAATACCCTAATCTTATCATAGCACTCATGAACCCTGCAACAAACTTGTGCTATGTCTAAACTCTTCAGACAATCTACAGACTCTTCATGACAGTCTTCCTTCATACTTACTTCCAACGTATGACCGATTGTGGAGGTTTGAATAACCCAGTTATTCGGGAAGTCAAAACATGCAAACCGAAACACAACAATAATACTTAATCCTATATGGCCCCAAACTTATGGGAGTAAATAAAACACTTTTGTTTAAACACCATATTGCTTACTCATTATTCATTATTTACTGTTTCAAAAAATCAACTTATTACTCAAATTACAACAATAGCTGTCCCATGCACAAAGCATGCACACTTTATTTCCTATGGTCCTTACTTTGTGAAATAGATCAATTGAAAAGCTTTTACAAGGATGCTCATTTCACAATTCCCAATCCTTATCATTAGTGTTAGAACACAAGGTTCTTGCCACCACTAGAATATGCTAGATTCTAACATTTTATGCAACGATCCTTTCGCAAAGTCATAGCACAAAAGTCACCAAGACTTGGATAATGAAATTACAAAGTACTCTTTCGGAAATTGTTACAAGACAATTCCATAGACGTGAAGTCTCACATTAAGTACATTCCTTTGAATATCCTTCTTGCATAAAATTTTCTAATCTAGATATAGCTCTCAATATCCAACTCCCAATATGGAAACATTTCCATATTTGCCATATGTCAACTCATTCTTAATAGAATCTTATCTATTCATAATAATGTCGATATGGTCCATCCAATACCATACTTCCAACTACTCACAAGCGACCAATCCTCAACGAACTTTGGATCGTCCTTTGATAGTTGTTTAATTATTTTAGTCAAAACCAATTCTAGTCATTTTTCCCTCTTAATTCTCTAGACATTTGGAAAATTTTAGAATGGTTAAATATTATATCATTTGCAATCGATCCTAGGAAGCGTATGGGACACGATGCATACTGTCTTACATAAAGATATGATACTTTATCAATCTTCGGCCATAATATTTTGTGTCACGTTCTCACAAATCAAACTATGAAGAGGGATGTCGTAATCATAATCGAAATTTAAGAACACACTATGTATCCTTTGACTAAATTTATTAAAATTTCTCAATCAAAGCTTTAGATTTTGAAACGAAGTATAATATTCTTTCCCTTAATTATAGCAAAACAACTTTTCAACCCATGCAACCTTGCAAATTGAATCTTTGTTTTTCTATAATTAATATTGCAAACTTGCAATACTTTCCATACTAATCATACAAACATAACACTTATGCTCCCACTATCATGATGATTATTATCATATAAGCATAACACTTATGCTCCCACTAGTTTTGACATGTATTCAGAAAATAGCTGAACTTCCAAAAAACAATGCTTATTGAAT